CACATACATAGTCAAGACATTATATGCTATTTTCTAGCAACTGTTAGAAAGCTATAAAACATATAAAGATGAAATTTGCCTCTAATAGAAAACTGCATCCTTAAAATGCCAAAAATGCAAAATAAAAGACCTCAAATCAACCTTTAATGTTTTGTCATGCAATTAGCTATAGCACATTGGGACAAGATTTTTAGATTGTTTTGCTTTGCCGTGTTTTTTTAATCAGGTTACCAGTTTTACATGTCCTATAAGCAATGGGCCTGATAAAACAGTATGATATTATTAATAAATGCCTTTACAGTGGCTTAATACAAGTCAATAGGAATAAAAACATATATACTAAGAATTTAGAATGGCAACATTTGAACTGAATATAAATTACGTGATTATCGACCATTTATGAATCAGTCTGATCAATTACACTACCTTAAAGGTCTTTGGGCATTTTTCCCAAGCCAAGTTTCTCTTCTAAGTTATCGTTGGTACAAGGTGCGATGACTTTCAGGCATCAATTAATATAAATTGAAAGCAGGCAAAGTATTAATTAAACATGACACTCTGATTATTTAAACCTTCTATTAAAGTTGATTATTCAGACCATGCTGATAGCCTGTTCTTCAAAAATGACTGATGATATCAAGCTTTACTGACTTTCACCAAGTCTACTATTTCCAACTCTTCAAGACAGAAGGAATAAATGAAGTGAGAAGAACACTGGAACAAGTCTAATAGACAAACTGACTAATCTCAGACCCCCAAGGTCAAAGAAAAGCAATTCATTTCTTGGCTTTCATCAACACAAGACATGATTTATCAATTGAAGGGCAGGATTACAAACATTATACATCTCAATGATATGTTCTTTGCACTGTGTAACTTTGTGAACAATGATAGATTGCACTGTCGCCACACAAATAATGTCATAAGGCAAAACTCATTATATTTGCAAATAAAAACACTGATTTTTAAAAACAAATGTACACATTACCAATCATTGCTACTACCCATTTCATTTCATGGGGGGACATTTTAAATTTCAGAGATTCTATGGGATTCTATCACCTTCATGATCCAAACTTTGGACATTCCAACTCCTCAAAATACTATTTTTACTCTTAGAGAGTCAGCCACCATGCTATAGATAATTTTTAAATGCAATATTTTTATATTATTACAAAAGTTTCAGTGATAATTACTGTCATTTTACATAAATATGTTAAATGCCTCTTAAAAGATTGCTACTCCCATAGATCCAAAGCCACTCTTAGAGAAGAAAACATTATAAAAGGACACTGGCAACATTTTTAACATTATAAATGTAATCATATAGCAGGGATTTTGCCCCAATTTTTAGGATTAGTGCTTTACAAGCTTTAAAGAGGAACTGAGACCTAACAGAAGAAAGAAGTCATGAGCTAGTTATTTTGATTCCATGAATCTCTCAGTTTACCTCTCACTTGTGGTAACACTTAGGGAGCTGTTCTATAAGTCATTCTCATAATAGCAGTTCAGAAATGACTCCATAGAGTGATGTTAGGTAATCTGAAAAAATCGCCACTGAAATTAAAGTCTATGTACAGGGCAGTCAATTGTGATCATGAAACCTCATTCTACATCCTATATATTTTAAATCACATTGTTATTTTCAGTGATCTAAATTAATGATCACTTTTTCTATTAGGGCACAATTGTAGCAAAATGTTATTGCCTAGGTGGAGAAGGATAGTAAAAGGTGTTGTATGTTCAGCTGATGATTCATTTCACCAGCTGCCAGAAAGTTACACGTTGCAGCACACCTGGACACATGCACCCGTGACTGATTGGGAAACACATTTATCTTGGCACGTCACAAAGGAGATGGAATTCTAATTACTCTCCCTTGTAACTAAATACATTTTGGAGCTGTATCTACCTACAAAATAATACAAATTACACATCTGGATGAGGTTCACATAATTTTACCATCTGTTCTCTATGTTCAACCATAAATATTTCCCAAATCATTCCTTGTGTTTAAAAAATAAGATTTAGTTTTAAAAGACCTGGACTGATTGCCAACATTATAGAGAAATGTTATTTTTTTTAAAATTAAGACACTGAATATGTTGCTTAAAAGCTTGAACTTCTTTGGTTTGATAAATACACAGTACAAATTTAATCTTTACTTTTCATTAAGGGGATTTTGTGGATTTCTCATATTCTGACTTTGAGAAAATAAATTTGTTAGCTAAATTTTACACAGAATCATTCAGACAAAAACTGAATATTTGAGTACCTTGTATAACAGAACAAAAAGGTACCAGAGGTTTCCTTATTCACCTTAAGTATTAGCAATTATTAATTATCTCGATCCCAAGTTCCACAGATTCTTACTTAATTTCTCCGGAGAAGTTCCTTAGTTTAAGACCTTAAAATATCAAATTAAAAGTATTCTAGGAATATTTAATGAAGTTTGCAAAATCATAATTTCCAGAAAATGAAAACATTTCATCTGGTATAACCAGTGATAATAATCAGTCTAAATCAGTTTTGATAGCTACTTTTAAATTATTATAAACCTCTTATTTTCTCTAAATATAAAATGTTATATGAAATCTGTACATAAGAATAGGAGAGATCATAAAATACATATTCAATTTCACTGCTGAAAGTTTATAGAACAGGCTTCAACAGGTGTGAAATACTTTTCATTTTTCTTTCAAAAACACTGGAGAGAATTGGCTAGGATATTGTCGCTTAGGAAATACTCTTATGTGAGTAACATTTTATGTTGTTCTCACAATCAGGAAATATAATTATAGTAACAACAACCAATTATGTAGTGATTAAAAAGTACAGTCCCTAAACTAAGTACTTTATACGTATTAACTCATCGCCACAACCCAATGAGGTAAGTGCTACAATTATCCTCACTTTTCGAGATGAGGAAACTTCTTTGCAACAACAAAAAACCACTGAATCCATACATCACTGTTCTTTAGTAGTTGTACATACTGAATCACAGACATTATCAATGTGTGAAAATAAGACCCTTAAGAAAGAAAGAGAGAATCTTGAAAAGCATACTATTCTTGTAGAATACATCAGAAATTCAGATCAGGGTAATTATGGCATAAATAGGTTTAAAATATACTCAATATACACAAGAGTAGTGTATACACAGCAAATAGACCTATATTTAAACCGTTAAATACCATTACAGGAGAACATGAGCTATCTCTATGCCATCGATGTACCATACAATAAATGTTACATTATAGGTCACATCCACAAACCTACAGTGTGCCTTTTTTTTTTCATAAGAAATATTCTCCAATACTAGTTTTTAGTAACTAGACTCTTTAAAATGCCTTTAAAGTTAAAAGACATAAACCATAGTAATCTCTTCTTTGCAATGGAAATCCAATAAATATTTTACATATATAAAATCTAGTAAGAACAGCCTTTTCTCTGTGTTGCCATTTACACACTTCTCAAAAATAGTAAAAACAGGGCAACCTATTTATCTGTGCCATCAATAGATTTAGAGCCAGAAAGTGGCTTATCATTTCAAAGGAATGCTAGAAGATACTAGTGCCTGGTAAATGCGTGTACTGTACCACAATTCCAGTTCTAAATATGAAAGTACTATCATAAATTTCTCATATTTCTCAATAAAATAAACTTTTCACATGTTTAAATTACATATTTACTTGTGTCACGGTTGAATCAGATGGTATAAGACGTCATTTCAACCTTAGTTGCTGGTGTGCGTGTTCAAAATTCTGACGTGATACTTCGCCAGATCTAACTGGCTTACCATCTCCTGACAGACAGACATAGTCCCAGGATTTCTCAGTCCACCTTAAAGTGAATGTTGAACACTTGAGCCTCGTCTCTGATGTCTAGGCAATTTTATACTGACTCATCTTTGTACATGTTTTGTTTCTCAAAGTCTTTCTCCCTTTCCCCTTTCTCTCTCTCTCTCTCTCTCTCTCTCTTTCTTTCCTGTTTTTTTCCTCCCCTGAAAAATACCTGTTTATCATTTGAGACTCGGTATAGGTATATCCCCCTAGACAGAGTTAAGTGTTTCCTCCTTTACTCTCTGTCAGAGGAGTAAATAATCTATGATGGCATCATACTATGTTACTTTCATTTGTTTACACATTTGACTAAGTGACTAGACCATAAAATCTTAAATATAAGTTTTTTCGTCATGTAAGAAATTTCTACCACAATGGTTGAAATATGGTAGATGTATAATCAATGTCAGATGAATTAAATTACTTTATAATTCTGTCCATATCTTACACTGTACTTCTTAAAATTTCCCTCTTCTGCCCATAGGTTATGCTGTTTTGCTGTATAAAGTCAAGCGTTTGTATGCAAATCACAAAATTCATTTGTCTAAGTCCTGAATTAAAAATAATTCATCTTAGGAATATTATATAAATCATCATCAAATTACTTAATCACCAAAAGTATTACCTAGGAACAAAAAGTAAAAGCAATCATCTAGCTACTAAAATTTGTAAGTTCTTATAATATTCTACAGTCACTTCTAGGCTTTCATAACTAATTGTTCATTAACTGCATTATTCTCTTTAATAGAATAGTTATGAAAAAACTCACATGAATTATTAGAAATAATCCATTTTTGGAGCTCATGTCTTACAGAACATTTGTGGGCAGCTGACTTATCATATGCTAACATATGTAACATATGTAGACTTTTATGAAATTGGTTATCTAAAACATAACTATATGATAACTTTATATTTTCAGGTTATCAGATAATTTAGTGTTCAATGTGGAATATACAATAAAGTTGTTTACATATAATCTGTAACAAAGTCAAATAAAATTTTATCTCCCTGAGAAAATGATGATGATAATGATAATGATGATGATGATAAAGTTAATTAGCCCACACTAAGGATCTTCTTTAGGTCTACTTTTTCAACTCTATAATCTTACATTTTATTCCTCATAAATATTTCAGAATAAATATGGCCACTTACTTCTCAGGATTTTCTACTTCTTCCGTAACAAAGTTGAGATAAAACCTAAAAAGATATAAATGAATTATAAATTATAAATATATTTTATGACTATAAACCAAAGTTTCAAGTTTTAAATATCTACAATCAAACTCAGAATTATAAAAAATTATAAACAAATAATTATTGTGAGATGAAAATCTCCAATACTCAAAAGCCCCAACAAATCATTTTTCTATTAAGCCATATTTCTTATTTTTCTTATTTTTTTTTATTTTTTGTTTTTTAAATGTTTATTTATTTTGAGAGAAAGAGAGCACATGGGGGAGGGGCAGAGGGAGAAAGGGAAAGAGAATCCCAAACAGGCTCCACACTAAGCATGGAGTCTGACATAGGACTCAATCTCACAATCGTGAGATCATGACCTGAGTCAAAATCAATTAGAATCAGGTGCTTAACCAACTGGGCCACCCAGGCTTCCCCAGTTATTTTTTATTTTTTAATATTTTTACAGAGGTATAACATATGAATATTTAAGTGCACAAATCTTAATCTATAATTTGGTGAATTTTTACATATTTATATACCCATGGAACCAATAAAAAGATCAAGAGATAAAACATTCCTAGAACCCTAGAAGGTTTCCTTATCACCTTTTCTAGTCAATATCATCTCTTTCATTCTCTTGTAAAGGCAACCATTATTCTGACTTTTATCACCATTGCTAAGTTTTGTTTGTTTCATCACACTAGACTAATATTTGCCTGTATAACTATTATACAATATTTATTATTTTGTGTCTGGCTTTTTTTTGCTGAGCTTTGTTTTCATGAGCCTCACCCATGCTGTTGTATGTAACAATAATTCATTATTTTTATTGATGTTTTCTATTGTACTGTCACACTATACATTCTACTGTTGATGGTTTTGGATTACTTCCAATATATAGCTATTATGAATAGATACCATAAATATGCCTATGCATGTTCTTTTGGGGACCAGGCAATCATTTCTCTTCGGCAAATACTCAGAATATAATCACTGAGTCAACAAGTGGATGTATGTTTACAGTCAAACTATTTTTTTCCATTTTTGCATTCCCAGCAATATAGGAGATTATCACGTGTCAGCCACTAGGGAAAACAAAGTGGAAAATCCACACTAATTCTCCTCAAGGAGCTCATAGTATATACAGTGGAGCATAGACTCGTGCAATGTAGCATAGGAGCCAGTGCTGGAGTGTGCACTGGGTACCATGGGAGCCAGAGGCAAGGTCTAACCCAGACTGGCAAGTCAGGGAAGATTTTCTAGAGAAGCCATCACCCAAGTTGAGTCCTCAAAAATGCTTAACGTCTAGCCCTAGTGAAGTGGTGTAAGAACATTCCAGACTGAGTATAGCACACAAGCACAGGGGTGGAAGCCACAGTTTAGTATTTTGCAGCTCAAAGTGTGTCAGGGGTAGTGAGAACAGACTTTAAGTACCAGATGGCCTTAGGCTTCAGGAATCCAGATTTTAGTAGTGGTGGCAGGTCAATCAAAGCTTATAGGACAATAGAAGTGTGACAATAGCATTTCTCAGTTTTAGAGTTCATGGCTTCATACTTGCACACAAGGGCAAGTAGGAACCGACAACGGGATCAAAGTTAATAGATTCTTAATCTTCACTTCTTCCTTTCAATTTACTGTTTTCTGGTATGTGCCTCTCTAGATCCTCAAGTCACAAGACTATGAAATTGCATTTTTAGACATACAGTCATTACATTGTAAGTGGATAACTAAACAGCAGAACAGTTTGGACACTTTTCCCAAGTCCTGAATGCTTTTCTGGGTCCCTTACATGACAAAAAGTATTCTAGGCACAAAATAGTTCACTTTCAAGTTTGACAGGATTACAAATATCCCCCTAAAGTTATGGCCCTAGAGAAAGAAATTCAGATTCCTTTCCTTGACTTTGTGACTCTACTCACCCCACCCAGAAATGTCTACCACCTTGCAACCTTGACTTCTTTTTCCAATCTAAAGGGATTGCTGGATACTCTTTTAAGCCCTTATAGTTCTTTTTCAAAGCTCTAAGATGTATGACCGAGGCAGACTCCATCCTCAAACAAGCATATATAGATAATTTAATTGCGAAGATGGGAAAGCTAAGAAATCATAACGGGAGAGCTAAACATATGAACACAAAGACATTTCTCTTCTTCATTTCATACATTTAGGGCATTTCCACAAAATAAAAGAAGTCATATTTTCAAAACACTTTTCTCTTCTCTTATTCCATGGAAGATAAAATAGCTATTAATATAGGTACACAGAAGCTTGGGTCTATAAGTATGAATTTTCTATAACCTAAAACCAAATGGCTAGAATATTAGCCCAACAGACTTTAATATCAAGTATGTCATAGCTTAAAAAAGAATGAGAAAACCTGTCTTATCCCATCTTTATAAAAACCCACCTAAATTCACAAGTAGAAAGTTGATGTTCATGGTTGTTAAACACTAGACAATAAGCTCCAAATGGAGTCACTTATGCTAAGCTCCACAACACCAAACCAAGGCAATTATAGTTTCAACTCTCCCAGTAATGGAACTTTAAACCAGCCACTCAGGAATCACTTGATTAGTACTAGTTAGGTAATCTGCCTGATAGATCTCTGTCATTGTTTAAATGAAAGTAACCTTGCAAAAACCAACTGCTTTTTTGCCTACACTAACTTCTTTGTTCCTGCTCCCTTCTGCCTATAAAAGTCTTTCATTTTGTATAGTTCCTCTGAGCTCCATTCTATCTGCTAGATTAAATACTGCCTGATTCAAATTGATTTTTGCTCAAATAAAGTCTTAAAAATTTTAATACGCTTCAGTTTATCTTAACAAGGTGAAGACATCTAATATTTTAAGGACTGTGTCTTAAGTAGAAACATTTGAATAGCTGACAGAACAGTAGCAATAAAGGTGATCTACAAAGTTAGCAGCCAAGGATATTTTTTAATGACTGGAGAGTAAGTTTCTAAAAATAGAGGCTGTAGTTATACCAGGAAGGCAAGTAACAATCAATACTTATATCTGGAATATGCACTCTGAGGGATTTCATGTGTTTGTTATAAGGCCAAAGCAATGGGAAATACAGGAAGAACATGCAGGGGAAAAAAAGAAAAAAAAATCCCCCCAAAATGAAACAAAACACACACACACACACACAAGAGAGAGAGAGAGAGAGAGAGAGAGAGAGGTTTCCAGGCTTCTCACGTCAAAAATATCCAGTTCCTTCTTAATAGGTGTTTTAGAAACTGGTGTTTTCCAACAATGTTTACAGCAAGAAAGGAAATATTTGTGGGGGGGGGGGTGGGGGAGGCCACAATTTCAAATATTTGCCATAGCTCCAGAGAATAGAGAAAAAGAAAAGGCTGGGTGGGGGTGCAAAGGAGAAAGCTTCCTATTTTGGTCCAAACATTCACATCCTATGGGAAATACACCTTTAGGCTCTCCTAGTTTCCAGCAATGAGTCCATAGCATTCTCCTTGCTGTACATCTCCTCAAGGCCTCTAGAGAATGTTCACAAGATCTATTGTTTCAGCTCTTCCATAATTGTGTATAAAAAGCACCACAAAGCTGTGAATGCATCCCAGTACCCAACTATGTGAATTATTTTAAAAAGACGCTTATTCTTTAGATTAGATTTGACACAATGGTACAAAATAATCCCAGCAGGTGCTTTCGAAAGACTAAATCCACTAGAGGATAGGATTTAAAAGGGAGAAGAAAGACACCGGAAAACTTTCTATTACGCAGTTTAAAAAAAAATCCCACCAAGCAATATTTAGCTTTGGATCAGGATATGGGACTGAAATTGGTTGAGTTCCCTTGGGCCACAGGGAACACTGGCAGACCTATCTCTCTGAATGCAGACATTGGCGATGATATTAAAGTTGCTCTGACCCAACTCTATGACCTGGCTGGGTTAATGATTTCTTTCCCCCTAATCATGTTTCTGTGAAGGAGTTTTCATCATTCTAAAAAGGTTCTGCACTCCTCATGGCCAAAAGCCTACTTTATTCAGACCCAAGGTTTGGCAGGATCTTTTTCCCATTCACCATGGAGGAGTTGAATTGCTAACAGAGCAAGGCCTCCTGGACAACAAAGGTCTTGCTGCTTTAACTTACACCCTAGGTGGTTGAGTTCTGATGACAGTGGCTGCTTCTGTCTGACTTATTTGCAATGCCCCCCACACTTTTTGTTTGCATCAAACGTTGTCACAGCAGCAGCACAGAGAGCAGAGGCTCATTTACAGTGCCTCATTTATAATTCCACCACCTAGTCTTGTAATTATACCGTGAAAGACAGACAGAGGTCAGAGAGGCAGGATCACATTTGGGAAGGGAATAAATACCCCTCTCTGTGAACTCTTTTAGTCTCCATCTTGTTCCATTTACAGCCAGATATTAACTTTTCCTCTGGAACTCCAAACCGACAGACTGTTTCTTCTAAACACAGCTTCCTTTTTCTAAGACTGATGGCCATAGATTAACAACCAGATTATTTCTGCCTATCCACAAAGCAGCATTTAGGTAGCATAAAAACCTTGTTACAGAAATACAGTTACTTATCTGTCTCTCCACAAACCACTTGTATCAGATAACATTCCATTTAAAATCCTGGCCTTAATTTCTAGTACTAGAATTGATTCCTTAAGAACATGAGAAAATCAACAGTTTTCTGTTCTTTAAAATAGGGAGTGGATATGAGGATTATATGCGTAAAAGTATAAACAAAAGTTCACGTAAACCCCACTTTCCCTGTAAACAGAAATTGAAATAAACTTCTAGGCCCAAGATAGGGCCACTCAGTCCCCAAACACCAACTCTGGGATCTATCTTTATTTCCTTGTTCCTTATTCATTTTCTAACTTTCTCTTTCTTGTTCCTTATTCTTTGAAACAATTCTAAGAATTCTAATTAATTCTAATTTAAGCCCATCCTATAAAAGTTCCCTGTCTTCCATCCCATTTTGCACTTCTCTGGACTCTTGAAAGTGGAGACTGCCCACTTCATGAATTGCTAAAGAAAGTTGATCCGTATCACTTAAATTGCTTTCTTAAATCCTTTTAACGAGAGGCACATGTTGGGTTCAGCATCAATCAAACAAAATATTCAGATAATAAGATAATTCAAAATGAAAAGAGTGAGAGAAATGGAGAAATCGATCAGCTCTCAAAAGCCTACAGAAGTGGAGAAGGTTTGCTCTACATGAAGCAGGTGACCTGAATATTTGGTGCTGGTAGTGGGAGAGTGAGTTGTGTAGAAGAGTATTTTAAGATTCCGTGGGAACAGATGCATGGTAGTCACAGGCAAAAGAAACTTCATTCAATAGAATTAATCAAATCTCCCTTGTGACTATCTCCACATTCCACATTCCTGAGTGAATATTGCTGGGCTCCCAACACTTGGCTCTAGCTGAAAGCTTCTATCACTTCCCCACTTCACTCTGGTCTCCGGGTGCCCTTCCCAGTAGCTTGGCTGCTGCCCCAGGGCACCAGAGCTTTGATCCAAGCTGAATGGCCATAGAATAGTTGATTCTGCTACGAACCCTGTGATCACAACTCTGTTCTCTCTGCCCAGCATCACATTGTGCTTTGGACAAAAATAAAAAGATTTCAAACATACTGTGTGATTCAAGATTAACACACACAATGGCTATAAGAATATTTCTTGAATATACAAATATTTTACACTATACTACTTAGAGCTACAATCTTTGAATGTCTTTCAAAAGCTAGGTTAAAGTTTTTTTTAAGTTCCTGTACCCTCCTGATTTTCCTCTAATGCTATATTTTCATAATTCATTGAGATTTATATGGTAAACATTCCATTTATTTTGAAATACATCTTTATATTCCATGCACTAGCTGGAAGGTACGAATCTAAACAGTAAAGGAATGAAAGTACATTTTATTTGCATTTGTAATGCAGTTACATAATTTTTGAGCTAGTGTGGTTTCCTGATACTATTTTTATGTTTACAGAACACTCTCATAGCTAAAATTGTACAACTAGTAGCTCCAAAAATAATAATGAGATTTTGCCACTAATTATGCCAAAACTGTGAAATGTAATTTTACTGCAAAGATTTTGATGCTTAAGCAATACTTTGCTACCTGGTGGGCTTTCTCATAATAGTCACTTCAACTGAATCTTACATCGATAAAATTTAATTAGAGAAAAATCCCATTCTTATCCATGAGTATTGTTATTCAAGTTATTGAATAAAGTAAGGCATAAATTAGAAACAAAGTTCTAATGCTTCAACCAGAATGGTTATCACAGTTGGAAAGCACAAAGGCAATGTACCCATGGCAGAGTGATTTTAATCATTTTTGCTGCATACTTTATTTTTCAAATGTGGAGGAAATTTTAAGGAATTTGTAAGAACCAGTAAAACGTAGATTATCTACTATGCCTGATGTCATTATCTTAGTTTTCCTACCCTGCCTTTAGAGTACCATTTTACCTCCTGGGTACATCTTACTTATTTCTATATCTGAATTATTTCATTCTCATGGGAAAGCAGAGAAAAATCAATTAATCACTATTCACAAACAACCTTGGAGCTTCAGCGGAAAGGCCTTTTGACAAGCAAAGAACTCATCTCTAATTTCCCATGGCACTGTTATGTCCTCACTGATACAGACTTCTAAGTGATTTGTATTGGTTCTTAATGTCAGCAAGCCCTCTTGCTCATAGACCCCAGCAGTTAAAACCGGAAATAGATAAGACCATTTAACTCATGCTCTAACTAAAACCCATTGTGCTTATTTCTTATCGCACTTTCTTGAGGCATTGACAAAGACATTTTGCAATGACCAGAACATTCTAACCACCAGACCAGAAAAGCCCTGATAGCAACAGAATGCCTAGAAGACCACACCCCACACATCCCCGTCCCTACCCATGATCATGGACTGAAAACATACCCACTGTCCGCTCTTTTGCACAGATGCTCCAACCTCTCCCTATAAAATTCTGGGTGTCCTTCTTACCAGTGGAGAGGTGGATTGTTAACGCTTGAGCTTGTCACCTCCCCCCGCTGCCAGCACCCAAAACAAATTTCTCTCTTCCTCTTTTCCAAACCCTCATTGCATTTGGCTTCTCTTGTGACACGTTTATCCAAGTTTGTTCGGCAACAGTGTTGGCAAGCTCAGCCCAGAAGGTGTACTTTCAATTTGTCCAGCCCCCTCAGGAGTCACCAGGATGGAGTAGTTGGTCTTGGCAACATGCACCAGGGCTCACCCATTTGTTTCCTGACTTAATGGCTGTGATAGATCTTTCAGTAACATTAAGGCCCACATTTGTTTGTTTTTTTACAACACCAGGCTAAATCTAATAGTCACCTTGACTGAAAAACTCAGTTATGTTTACTGTTAAGTCATATGCACAGTAATTGCCCTGGTGGAGGAAGCCACACCATCTTTCTCACTTTAAGAAAAAGTAGATTGTGCTGGATTGTGGTTATTCACACTGTCTAGCACCTTGCTTGGCACTTAGCCAAACTACTTGAAGGAATTAATGAACCATACAAACCACCAGATCTAGAGATGTCAACTTACCAGCCAGCGTATGCATACATCCCATAATAAAAAGCCAGTGGCAACCCCATGATACTTGCATCTCTTCCTGAAAAGGCATCTTGAAAGTGTTGTGTTTGCCCTGCAATGAGAATAGAAAGATTTTAGGACTTTTCAAAGAATAAGCCATAAACATGGGGAAGGAAATGGGAGGGTTGGGGATGAACTATGCTGTTCCAGGTCCAGATTTCTCACTCCCTGCTCATTGCCAGATTTATCTATTAATACTTTATCCATTCTAGAGAAGGAGGCCCAAAAAGTATATGGATCACCACTAACACTAACTACTTCACATTTCTTTTCTAATAAAATTATAGCAAAGAGGAAAATAGCGTTTAAAAACCATTTCCTTGTTTGAGTGTGCCTCTGCTCTTTTAGAGTTTGAGCATGAAAGAAGACTAAAGAATACTCTGTAAGCTATAGTTCATAGGAGTATAGTAGAATTCTTTTAAATGAAGATAATGTAAAGCTTGTGTTGGGAAGCTAGAATTTCCTCTACCCTTCCATATCCTTCTAGCTGGACTAAAACTTAAACTGACATGAGGCAGATTAACAGGAGAAAATCAAATTTAGTAAACGTACGTATGGGGAACCTCCACAGACATGGAGATTCCAAAGACAGTGAGACAATATGACACTTAGATGAGCTAAGAAGAGGGGTAGCATTCTGAGGATACAAAGGGGAGAGAGACATTTGAAGGAAGGTAAAAGGAGATGTTTGGAAAACAAAAGTTGCCCTGTTATGCAGATGAGTCTCTTAAGTAAAAAAGAATCTCTGTTAATAGCTCTCTTCCTGGTATAAGCAGGTAGCTGAGGGGGATGGGGTAAAAAGTGTTTCCTGAATCTACTGGGTTTGGATTGTTCTTAAAATAATGTTCATGCCAAAGTGTCTCATCTTGCTGGCAGACTGCTCTGTCTTCTATACTTGGAAAGAAATATTGACAGGTCTACTCTCAATGAGGAGGTAGCAAAAAAACCCAAGAACCACCTTCTCATATCATTTAACTTTCTTTCTTCTTTCTGTTTTCAACCTGTAATCTATTAGGCATCCACCATTGTTGGTAAACCCTGTGGGCCCAATCTGGCCTTTCAAAGCTTCTGTGTTAAATAAAATTTTATTGGAGCACAGCTAGGCCTACTTGTTTGTGTATTAGGATTGATATTACCAGTCTATGGCTGATTTCACCCTGCAAGAACAGAATTGGGTAGTCGTGACACAGACTGTATAGCATGTAAAGTTGAAAATATTTACTGTCTGGCCTTTATGGAGAAAGTCCACTAATACTACGTCTTAGAGAATGACATAGTTTCCTTTTACAAACACTGAAAAGGAATTATACTAAATTTTAAAATGGATAGATTTTAACAAATTATGCATCAACATGTGGATTGAATGTTTTAATTCTTAACATTTTTCCCTACTTCATGAATGATACTGGGCCTTTTTCGTGTGTATCTTTGGATAACTACCAAGAAAAACCCTACCAAAATTCAGATTTATTCAGCCAATATTCAAAGTTAAATACAAAAAAAGTCTCTTTCCCAAAGAAAATAGCAAATGAGATCACCCAAAGGGGAAATGTGACTTTGTTTCAAAATTGGTCTTCACTTAAGTAAATAAAAGGAGGATGGAAGTTGGATGATGTATGTGATTACGACCCTCTCTTCACTCAAATCTCAATTCTTACCTGGGTTGCCCAGACAACAATATATATTAATATAATAAGTATGAGTTTTGAGACTAAAAATGGAGAAAGTTGAATTGTGTGCTAAATAATTTTTCCCTCAAAGTGTCCAGTTCCAAAATATAGTTCATTTAAAAAAAAAATGACACAGTGAATTTAGAAATGCCTCATAGAAGGGAAATATAAATACTGGGGCTCAGATAAAAATATCTATTGAATATTCTTTTATCATGACCTATTGTCTCCTTGGCCAAAAGAGATAATATTCTAAGAGTACAGTACTGAATAATCAAGAAGAGAAACTAAACTTTGTTAAAGACCAGGTCCTAAAGCATAAATCCTAAAAAATGTCATTTTTAAAATACTACAAAAGACAGGTTTTTCTAAATTCAGGAATATTTTGGCTGCATAACAGAGGTCTCAGGAATATGAAAATCATAATATCCAAAGGAAAGTTTACCAAATCCTCATAAATAAATATAGACCACACAAATATTTTCAAGATCTTATTAGAGTGGAAATAAGTGCATAATCTGTATCGATAAAGCTTTTCTCTTCCTGGAGTTTCAAATTAATGTGAAAAATATGTGATTAAGTTACAAAGAAAATCAACATTTTGTAGTAATAGAGTAAATACACCTGCTAAAAATGATCTCCAAAATATTAAAATTTACTTTAAATGTAGTAATATTCTTATGGTATTTCTCTACTAGGTGAACTAGAAGAGGAAGCCTGTTCACATTAAGCACCGATAGCATAAGTACTAATTAAAAGATTTCAAGTGTCAAAAACGATCCAAAAAATACACTCTGATCTCTGCTCTTAAGGAATTTGCAATAAAATAACCTTGGGAAAACCTCACTTCATACATATATCAATAGGTGGAAAAAAAATGACTATAGTCTTATATTACACCAAAAAGAAAAAAAAGATCTTAGTTTTAAAGGATAGTATATCATCTTTTGGAACCTAAACTAGAACTAAAGTAGGGTCAACAACTCAGAGTCTCTGCACTTTCCACAAATGGAAGAAACCCCTTACAGAAGACTAACGAGTTAGCCCAGAAAAAGAAAGCAGCAACAAAACAGATTATTTTCTCTGTATTTCTAATTGATCAGATAAAATGAGCAGGCTAGCTCTATGGGGACCAAGGTGAATTGGGAAAGCGAGCTCATGTCTTCTCTTTCTTTAGTGTAAACCATGGCATTAAAATCTTTATCGTATCTCCTCTGAGTTGGCTGAAGTTGATGGATTTGATGCAAACATTGAGCCAGGACAGTTCCAAGATCTTCTATTCATAAATGGACAATTAGCAGCTCCTAATTATTGTTAATGTAACAATAAAAATTAAGTTTTACAACTTTTTTTGTCAGATAATATTTGGTTTTTAGGAATGCTAGTCCCATATCTGACTCCCTTTCTGTCAAGACTCTATTCTCAAGATAAAAGCAGTAATAGCCATAGAGTAAGAGAATTATTGGTCATCTTTCATCATTTTCCAGATATCCTTTCTTCTCTAGTCTTTATTACTATCATTGAACTATTTTAAAGTAAAACTAAGAGGATATAGGTATCTGTAGTTAAAACTAATTGCAATTTTTTTTTTCCACTTTGAGTTTCACTCCAAAGAGTTTATAGATGGAGAGAACTCACTAATGCCTTATTTTGTTGCTTGGCCCAGTCTTAATCTTCTTGTTGCCATTCAGCTGTAAATACCAACACACCCCAATGCAACCGTCTTTCAAATCAATTAGATGACAGTATAGAGTCTAAGTTCCACAAGCAGAGACTAATTAAGGGATTCTGCTAGTACAAGCAAAAGTTAGGGCTAGAAGAGATCAAAAGCAGATACGTATTTTAAAAAGCATTTACTTTCCAGTCCATACCTTTAATTAGCTGCATAACTCCAGGGACTATAATTATCAGAATTGCTGTGAGCTTGCAAAAGGTTAGGAAAATCTGGATCCGGGCACTCCAGCTGACACTCATGCTGTTTAGGACCATCACTACAGCTGCAAACAAATAAATGAAAGTTACAAAAGGTGAATTCTCATTGGCATGAAGACATGAAGACCTCGCTATTCAAAGTGCCATCCATTAATCAGCAAAGTTGGCATTACCTAGAGGCATTTTGGAAATGTGAAATCTCGGGCACTGTCCCTGACCTAATAGATACCTTTCAACAAGATCTCTAGGTGGGTTTTATGCACATTGAAGTTTGAGATGCTCGAATAAAACCAATGGACAGTAAAAATTTATCTCATTTTTTGTATATGTCAATAAGATTGGGCATATATTATAGTTTCCTAAAAATCAGATAAAAGTATCTTCTAACAAAACCCTGAAGTCATCACAATATTCAATCAAATTGCTGAATATGACTTTCTAGCTTGGTAGGTCAGACAACTATTTCCTCCTGTGATGACGTTACCCATATGCACCTGCCAGTATGGAACCACTCAAGAAGGGATGAGATGTCAAGAAGTTGGCTACAACTCTATTCTTCACTCTCAAAACTAGTCCTATCTAGCACTCTTTGGTTTTCCTCTCCAGTTTCCAATCAGCACATGAACGACTGACTTTCAACCTTCCTTAAAAATATAGGCTTCCAGGGGCGCCTGGGTGGCGCAGTCGGTTAAGCGTCTGACTTCAGCCAGGTCATGATCTCGCGGTCCGTGAGTTCGAGCCCCGCGTCGGGCTCTGGGCTGATGGCTCAGAGCCTGGAGCCTGTTTCCGATTCTGTGTCTCCCTCTCTCTCTGCCCCTCCCCCGTTCATGCTCTGTCTCTCTCTGTCCCAAAAATAACTAAACGTTGAAAAAAAAAAAATTAAAAAAAAAAAAAAAAAAAATATAGGCTTCCAAAATGTGTTTGGGGACTTGGAAAAAAAAAAGTTGTAAGTTAATGAGTCCAAAAGAGTTCCCAGTCTAGGACACGCCTTGGGTGTAAAGCCAGCAGAATTTCCCCTTCTTACTGATGCTGTCTAGTTTCCTGAGTAGCACTCAACTATCCACTTTTCCCATGTGGTAGACCATAAGAATCTGGAGACTAGAACAAGTATATTTGATCTGTATTGCTTGTGTTCAACTCTATACTTGACCCAGAAAGATAATCAACACAGTTTTATTGAATAAATGATTGAGTTGGATCCTTAGTTAAAAAAGAAAAAAGAAAAAAAAACTACCTTCCGGCAAGAATGCATGAAATGAATGATGATACTCTAAGACTCTGCCTCCTATCCTCTGCTGGAGTAACTTCTAGAGGTTCTTCTAGACCATGGAATTCAACTTTATGTTCTTTCTGATAGTTAATATTCAGTGTTAACCACCCCTCCAAAGCTGTTTCATACCTGATATTTGCAGTTATTATCGTTAAGCTTTATTTTTAAAAAGGTGTATCCCTCCTAAGCAAATAACACAAATGTATGGATATACTTCTCAGGGGATAAAACAAAACACAGGATTTTTAGAATTCAAGTTGCAATAGGAAGTATTCATATTCTACAGTAATCGGTTATCTCCATAGTTTCCACTGCTTCATATAATCACTAGCTCATTTCAGAATTTTAGAATCAGTGAAATGTTATCGACATACAACATATACAGTAATGGCAAAAATTTAAAAATAACCTAGACCCCTAAAGGAAGACTAAAGTACACTTTTTTTAATGATTTGTTATGTAACCATTTAAAATCATGATGCAGTTAAATATGTATTGCACGAAAGGATATTCATGATATATTTCTGACCAATACAGCAAGTTACAGAGAGAAGGATGGATGGATGGATGGATGGATGGATGGATGGATGGATGGTTGGATGAATGGAGACATAAAGGCAGAGAGATATAAAGGTGGGGAGGGGAATCTGAAACAGTGTTTACCAAAACATTAACAGAAGGTATTTATAGATGATGGAATAGCCAGTAATTTTCAATTTGTATTTCTTTTTCTACATTTAATAATTTTTATAATGGACCTGCAGCTTTTTAAAGTGAAAATCAATAAAGCAATTTTCATTTTTGAAAAATCTCAAAGATGAGAAAATAAGGGATCAGGAGATCCCACACAAAGTTAAACAGGAGACTACTAATGAAGAAATGTCTCAAAGGAGTAATGATAAGAATGATCAGGAAGGCTGGAACCCCATATAGGATCCATGTGAGGCTAAGGGAAATATTTTACCTATGTTTGAAGCTAAAAACATGAAGAAAAGTAGGTCCATTGTTAATGGCAGAGTGCATTACTTTGTCAGAGGAAGGATAAAAAATAAAATTATTTTTCTTTCTCCAACATAAAGCACTTATATGTTGGAAATAATTTAATGCAGCTCTGTTCCCCACTTCATCATCCACTTATCCCTTTCTTTTTTTCTATACAAATGACTGTGATAAATGAGTCATCATATGAAGAGCATTATTTAGTTAAAGGGACAACACTGACCTAAAAAAAAACTGGACTCATGTTCCTACCACCAACAAAAGAGCACTGCTTTCTTTTAAATAGAGCTCCTAAAACCTGAAACACTATTTCTGAAAGTACTCCACAATAGAAAAGAGTTGTATATAGGGAAAAAAGTACAAAGGAAAGAGAAAGAGAAAGAGGGGAAGGGAAGGCAAGGGAAGGCAAGGGAAGGCAAGGGAAGGGAAGGGAAGGCAAGGGAAGGGAAGGGAAGGCAAGGGAAGGGAAGGCAAGGGAAGGGAAGGGAAGGGAAGGGAAGGCAAGGGAAGGGAAGGGAAAGCAAGGGAAGGGAAGGCAAGGCAAGGGAAGGCAAGGCAAGACAAGGGAAGAGGGAGGGAGGGAAGGAGGGAGGAAGGAGAAAATAAAGGTGGATGGGAGAAAGGAGAGAGGGAAAGAAAAGAGAGGGAGGGGGGAGAGAGAAAGAGGCATTCTTATTTTTGGAACCTCTATCTGAGAAGAGGAAAGAGGATTTGTTACTTTCATAAAGAGTGTAAGTCTTAATGTCTATTGAAAGAGAAAAAAAGTGAGCATTTGGGGTTTTCTTTTATACTTTGCAAAGTGTTCTTAGAAAAATCAAAGCAATCTTATGAATTGATAATCTCACCTTGCTTTCCTCTCAGGCAGCTGAAGAAAAAATTCTGGTTAAAACTGATTTCTCTCAAAGGTTTCTCAAAACCTCACATTATCTGAACATGCAGACATTGCACTCATTATTTGGTACACCAAATTCCAGCTGAGATGTACCTTTATGACCCTGAAGGATAAGGCTTAACAAGTAACAAGGCAGCAAGTACAGAGGCACTGTGAAGGTCCTCAAGTGACTAGAAATGCTGCTTCATCATGTGTCTTTACACAGAAATTTAAGTCTACATATGTTGCTTATCCAACAATATTGAAAAGGGGATTTGGGATTCACTAAATGCAAGAGCTTTCTGTGTTTCTGAAACACATCATATCTTCTTTGTTTTTATACAGACTATCTACCCACATTGTAATAAAAGAAATTTGAGTAAGTTCTGTGGTCCTACTTAGCTTTACTTCATTTGAATAATAATTGTAAATTTCACAATTAGAAAATATTTATATCAACTTTGGCTTTTTCTCTTGCCCAAATGAAAATACCGTGATATATAATTTTTATTTACTTACTTATAGTGCAGTCTGCTAAGAACTGAAATGCAAGAATGAAAGATAGACAGATAGATAGGTAGACAGACAGACAGACCAACCGATCAACTGACCGACCCACCAACCAACCGGCCCTGGAGATAAGACATACATGTTTAGAAGGGAGATGTATCTGAAGAAGATGTTTAGGGGAACGCGAAGGACTTACACTGGGATTTAAGGACTGACAAGGTTTTCTGTCTGCACTTCTCTATTCAAGTCTATCTTTGGATTTGCAGAGTGAGATTACTGAAGCTGGGTATACTGGGTTTTCTCTCAGGTTCAGGTTCTCTCTGGCTTCTGGCTTCTGACTGTTTCATGCTAAATCGATAAAATATAGGGATGCTGCATGGTGAGTTAAAGTCGATCAGTCCACTGGTTTTCATAACATCTGCCTGAGTTACCACTCTCTTTGTTAGCATTCATTGCCTGAACGTACTAATTTCAGAGAGGATAAGCCCCTCTAGCTATAAACATCTTTAAAAACCAGAGAGATCTAGGATCTCAATGCCTGGGATAAAAATGCAAGCATCAAATAATTGTAAACTATTACTATATGGCAGATAATGTACAAAGACTTTACGTGGATAATGTTATTTAATCCTTATCTCTCTATGATGTGGTCACCATCATTGCTGGCATAATTTTTCAGATGGGCAGCTGAAACTTGAGATAGCATTTAACTCGCTCATGTTCACACAGGTAAGTGTGAAGATAGGATTGGAGCCTAGGTAAACTGACCTCAGAGTCCACACTTTTACCCCTAGCTCACAGGTGATAATGCAGGAATAGCTCAAAAGACATGATCTCACTAATATACCTAGTCCTTTCAAACTCCTAGTGGCTCTGCCTCTCGCTGTTAAGGTTCGTGTTTACCTTGGCAGCAATTTCCCACATTTTGTTTGTCATCCTCCAGAAGGATATGGTTATTGTTTTTCAGTCCTTATACATATCAATACCATGTATACCTACCTAAGAACTCATTGTCTTGGCAATTTAGCTATGGTGAAAAAAGGTGTAGGCATAGCCAGTCTTCAGAATATTTAAGCAAAACCACTCCACAAGCTATACTTGAAATGCTAGCTCAGAACTGGTCCTGGATTTTCTTTCATGCAATTCAGTGATGGCAGGAAAACAGTTTGGGAAAAGAAAGTACAGTCATATAGTAATGGAAGTGGCTAATTTGTTCTTATAATGCACTCACGGTGTTATTTTCTTCCTTCCTCTAATTATTCCCGCAAGGTATGAGAAGCAGGGTGGGGCTCTTTACTCACCTATACACACTAAGCCAGGAAGGAACTTGGGATTGAAGATTGTTAGGAATGGATCTGGCACTAGATTTCATATTTTAAAGAAAGTATTTTTACCATAATATTCTGCCATTGAATTGTATACCTACATAGGGAATAGTTTCAGGAGACCAGAACAAAAGACTGGATATCATTTTAAGTATTGAACATCCTTCAATTTTTACCAAAGCCACAAGGACAGTGAAACTTGATGGTGTCGCACAGAAGGGAGTAATGTCACACTGGGCTAGCAGAGAGCACCTGATGAGAATGCCTAAGATTTCCCAGCTAGACTTCCCTGCGCCTGACACGTTTACTCGAATGGAAAGGATTTGGGATAAGCAAAACCTTTTCATTTTTATTAATTTGACAGCAAGGAAGCCCAGTACTTTAAACAAAGGGCAGATCGATTAGCATTCAGTAACTGCCCACTCCTACCCCAGCGTCCCTTCTCAAATGCTTGGTCAACATTTCACAAAACTTGAAATCTTTCTTTCTGTGACTTGATTGTAGCAAGATCTTTCAGGTTTCCTCTCTTTTCTACACTTGAACACTTGAACAACCTTCCACCCTTAGCACATACTCACATGTAACAACTTGGAATGTGAAAGATTTGCCCCCCGGTACATTTCTCCTTCTCTGTCTCCATCTCCACCCCTGGTTGGTTGCCCCATTAAAGCTAAATTCTTCTTAAAGTTAGTTTCAGGGTCCCAGACAGACCACTGATTTACATTACCTACCACTGAGTCATAACAATACCTTGTTTTCTCTTTCAGTGAAATCTCCAAATTATAGGAACCCAATTCCTCACAGTCTCAAGCTTGCAAATGGAACATCAAAACTTCTAAGCTGATGTTATAAACAATGGCAAAAATGGAAGAAAATGTCTAGGTTCATCCAAGATTAACACAGGCTTTGTGAACTATTTTACCACCAATCTCTACTACTGGAGTTTGGTAAACTGGAACACACGTAGTTATCCTTCCCTATAATAGTGACAAAATTTTGGTCTGTACAGTGTCCATTTCCTCCTCCAAAATACAGATTTTCCCTCCAAAAAAGTATAATAGCATTGGGATAAGGAAAAAGAGTCATCTAGACTTACCAAAATAGTAATATATTGCTGTTATCTATCTCATTTCAAGTCCAAAGCAGGTAATATTTATAGATTTATGTTTACATAAAATCTACTGAACCCGTGCTAATTCTAACCTTTATTTAAGTTGAGAAATATGTACGCCCACATGAGAGATACCTTTTAAAACTTTTATTGTAAATTTACAAACCTCTCAAAGAGATGACCTGTGTCTTCTTTTCAAATATAATAATCACGGTATGATTCTGCCTCAGTTATTTGAGGGACAAGAATATAATGGTTACAATAATGGCTATTAGTCCAATCTTTCAGTGGGACACCAGATATATTAAGTACTTTCTATGGGCAAGGCACTTTGCTAAAGGCTTTAAAAACCTGATGTAATTTCACCTCTCCGCAGCCATCCAAGACAGATTATCTTTTCACAGGTATCTTACTAATAAATAAAAGTAATGCTTAAGAAGGTTTAATATTTAGCTCCAAATCACACAACTAAGACATTGTGACACTAAGTTTCAACTCCAGGTTGTTTGCCTTCAAAGCCTAAGCTGTAACTACTATGCTAAGATAGTTCATCCCACAAAAGCTCATGGTATTAGTTCTGAATATCACATTGAGCAACTGTATTTCATTTCCCACCATTGTCCTGCTGCATGAGAAAACTGAAGACGTGTAATCCTCCAGGTTTAACAAGTAGACTTTTCTGCTAGAGAAAATTTCGTAGATCTCTCCACATAAAAATCAGTCAACAAATATTTATTGAACACAAACGCCATACTAGGAGCCATGAAAAGGGCTGGAAATATGGCAGTAAAAGGGCCCCCGGCCTCATGGAACTTCCAATGATGTTTTCCCACAAGAGTATAAATAGCTACCATTTGTAATTGTTCTGAATAAATTGTGAGCATGACCTAAACACTACACATACATTGTCTCAGTGAATATCATTCAATCCTCACAAAACACTCTCTGAGACTCCACAGGATCTGCAGGTAAGAATACTGAGATGTGAAAGGCTAAATGATTTGTCCCTGAGTTTCACATCTACAGTGTGCATGAAGGGCATGATGAGTTCAGTTTGCCATTACCTCTCCCAAACTCAGATATATGTACTTTGAGTATTTTTCTTTGTCTTTCTTCAGAGATTTCACAGAAGAAGAATAGGTACATGTTTGGTGGATAAAGTAGGAAATCCAGGATGAACCTAAGTTCAAAAATACATGTAGCTACACTAGAGATATTTTTACGTGTAATTCCTGCATACGAACCACTCACCGTACATCGATCTCTTCATCGTTGTACTGAAACACCTTAGACACGCCTAACTGAAAATTCTTCATAAGTATGCAATTAGTTATTCCTGCGTTGCTTGCTATTTCCAAATAGTTCCAACTTAATCAAACATGATCATATTGATTCTTCAAACTGAGTCAATTAACATCTGGAAGTATTATTGTTTCCCATACTATTCGAAGGTTTGGCTTCATATCACTTAGGTAATGTTGTGCATGTTCCCCTTTTCCATTTCTTTTAAAAACTATCCAGAATTTGGGCACGGTGATAAACGTGAACAAATTTCTAACTTGGAGATCCAATTTGAGAAGTGCTACTAGTAAGCGAATATGAAAAAGAAGACTTTTTATCGTGACCATCAACGGGCAGCTAACACCGTAACACTGAGCGTGACAGTTTGCTAACAGTATAAAATATATCAACACAATGCACACACCCTACACATGAACAGCACTCCGTGACAATGAGTTATCACGTAACATGTTATCAGTGAGAAAGGATAAAATTCTAATTCAAAAACCCATGAAATAATTGGGTTTTCATCTGTAAAATTCTCTTCTCATGTACTCCATGAGAACTGTTATTTTACTAATAAGGTTGTTTTTGTTTGCCTATATCAGAAGATTGGCCATCATATCTATTGACCCAATGCAAAACTGACATGTAATGTAATACCAAGGATCACTCCAAATCCTTAATCTTTTCTTTATTTTCCAACATAAATTTGGCAAGGAACTGAAGGGAAAAGAGCATGATGTGGAAAGCAGTCCCATCATATATGTCTAAAGAAGCTTTGTTATCAATCACTTTTGCTCTTTTTTTTTTTTCTTTTTCATATTTAGACCTATGATACTCACTTATGCCCACGGCTGTAATGAGCTTGATTGCAAGTTCAGGAATTTCACACTGAATAAAAAATGGTTCCAGAATGTAGCGTCCAAATGCCAGAGAAATCACAGCAGTGGCTGCAGGGCTGGAAAAGAATATTCAGGTTAACAAAGGAAAAAATAAATAGCATCTTTGCTAAACTTTTTCTACCTTGAGGTAATGTTATTCAACATATAGAACATGTTAAATAGGAAAGCCTATAGTTTTCCAAACTCCACATTTGATTAGGTTGTCACAGATAGTCCAAATGAAATATTGCCTATAACTTTGGTGGCTAGCTTACATTTCACATATTCATGGAAGCAAGACTGGGTGCTATCAGTTTTGCCCCTGATCTCCTATATTTGACTTTTTTTTCCTTAAAAATTTAGTTTATTATTTGAGATCCTAGCAGAACTGGGCTATACAAGAAGCAGTCTTCTTAATAAGTCAACAACTAGGGGTGCCTGGGTGACTCAGTCAGTTGAGCGTCTAACTTCGGCTCAGGTCATGATCTCACAGTTTGTGGGTTCGAACCCCACATTGGGCTCGGTGCCGACAGCTCAGAGCCTGGAGCCTGCTTTGGATTCTGTGTCACCCTTTCTCTCTGCCCTTCCCTACTCGTGCTCTGTCTCTCTCTCTCTCTCTCTCAAAAATAAACATTAAAAAAATAATAAGTCAACAACTAAACTCCAGCCACAGCATGAATGGGTTAAGGGTGTAGATCTAATGAGTTGGAGCCCAGTCAAGAAAATGAATACAAAACTCAGATTTTTTAAAAAAAAAAATTTTTAATGTTTATTTATTATTGAGAGACAGAGAGAGACAGAGCATGAGCAGGGGAGGGGCAGAGAGAGGAGGAGACACAGAATCCGAAGCAGGCTCCAGGCTCTGAGCTGTCAGCACAGAGCCCAATGCGGGGCTTGAACTCACAAACCATAAGATCATGACTGGAGCCAAAGTCGGATGCTTAGCCGACTAAGCCACCCAGGGGCCCCCAAAATTCAGATTTAAAAATTAGTATTAATAAGTATTCATTGAAAATACATGCTTATGTCCTTAACATTATGTTCTTATTTTTCTAGTACAGACAAAAACGTGAAGAGGCAAGTGATTATTCTTAATTTCTTAGAAATATTTAGATGCAAAGTAAAAGTCAAAAAGTAAAAATGCTCTTGTAATTTTATACAACTGAGAAAACATGAATGAGAAAATGAAATAAGTGCAGGTTTATAGTAAATAGGTAAGAAACCATTCTATTTTAATTCTTCAAATATTTCTATGAGAAAATTACATGTGCCTTTAAATACATGTATGTATGAGGGGCGCCTGGGTGGCGCAGTCGGTTAAGCGTCTGACTTCAGCCAGGTCACAATCTCGCGGTCCCTGAGTTCGAGCCCCGCGTCAGGCTCTGGGCTGATGGCTCAGAGCCTGGAGCCTGTTTCCGATTCTGTGTCTCCCTCTCTCTCTGCCCCTCCCCCGTTCATGCTCTGTCTCTCTCTGTCCCAAAAATAAATAAACGTTGAAAAAAAAAAAATAAATAAATAAATACATGTATGTATGAATATATATTCTTTAAATACACAGGCAAGTTCATGAAATTATCTAGTTTCTCATGCCATTCTTCTCTTTCAGCTTCTCTTCCCATAGTTGCCCAACACCTTAGATTGTCAGAAAACAACCACAACTACGTTCCAAACTTGGCCTGCTTGTACTCAGTAGCACCATACTTTTTTTTTTCATTTTCTTCTTTTCCCAAGGACCCCCTCTTCTCCCTTACCCCAACAAAAGACTGTTTTTCCTGTTCTTCATCATTTGTAAATTTTTGATGTATAAATTAAAATCTGATCACCTTATTTTAGTGCTTTCAAAACATGCTCAGAATATGCAAAATCCTTCTGTGAAGGCTCCATCTAGTCTAAGTGTTCCCTTCCTCTTAGTTTACTTCTTCTCACTGGAAGGAGCTGAACACCCTTTACCGGGAGCCCCTACAACTCATTGGTAGTTTTTTACACCCTATATCTTTGTTCAGTCTTTCTTGGCCCAGGGAAATTCCTTTACCCTTCCGGTTGGGTGAGAGGTCTCTGAGTATACTCCCTTATGAAGGCCCATGGCTTCCCTTTCGCTGATCACAGTAGCAACTTTATCTTCACTATGTGATTTCTTGATTGATAACTCTTTCCCTAGCATGACACTGAGGATCATGAGTTCAAGACTGTGTCCATCTTAGTCACTATTATTTGCCAGTGTTTAGTATAGTATCTATCATAAGTAGAAACCAAATAAACATTGAATATATGGTTAATGTGTGAATTCAATCATCTAATGACCCTGCTATGTACTGATATATGGTATTTATTTTCTTGAAATCTGTGCTCTACAGATTATTTCTGACAAGAGTGACTTACCCTCAAGCAAAATTTTAAGTATTTAGGCATCCTGGGTGTTATGAGCAGATGAGAAATATTAAAGTACCTAGGTATCTTGTCACTCCAGAAGTCATTCATTACTCTGTTTATTTAGAAGACCAACCAGGCAATGGGAGTCTCTTATTACAAAGGAATATATGAACCCTTTAAAAAAAGCTTCTAGAGTATATCTGGATAATTTCCTCTGTCAGTACACACACACACACACACACACGCATACACACACACCCCATGAAGCAGCTGTTTTGCAATGTAAATAACATTTGATTATGAGCTACCCGGAAGCAAGAATTGTGGGTCATTCCACTTACAGTCTCTTTAACTTACCATTCACCACTCAGTAGCTGTTTAAGGAATGAATAAATAAGTGAATGAACACTGTATCTGTGCTATTGTGAACACAATGATCACGTTCATCACAATGCCCAGTAATTAGCTAAAGCCATGCGACATATACCTAGCTGAAGAGGGATTCAGGTGCAGCTATATCAGGCTCCAAAGCCCACCATCCTAACAGCCCAGCACCCTGAATAAGTAGTGTCCTCACTTAATGCTTATTTATTTTTGAGAGAGAGAGAGAGAGCAAGGGAGGGGGTAGAGAGAGGGAGACAGAAGATCAGAAGTGGGCTCCTTGCTGAGAGTAGAGAGCCCAACAAAGTGCTGGAACTCGTGAACTGTGAGATCATGACCTGAGCTGAAGTCAGATGCTCAACCGACTGAGCCACCCAGGTGCCCCAAGTGTCTTCATTTGAATGCTGAGAATGTCAAATCCAAAATATTGTAACCTTAAACTTTCAGTCAAAAAGAATTAAATTATTCAAAAAGAATTTAATATTGTTGTTCAAAAAGAATTTACTGTCTGTAATGCTCAGGACACTGATTAAGAAGTATAATGGTTTCAAAAGTGTGAGGCTTGGTCTTATGCACTTAAAATGCCTGTAGTTCTAATGGGTAAATAGAACATAGACACCTGACATATTGGGGTGCCTGGGTGGCTCAGTCGGTTAAGCGTCCGACTTCGGCTCAGGTCACGATCTCGCGGTCCGTGAGTTCGAGCCCCGCGACGGGCTCTGTGCTGACTGCTCAGAGCCTGGAGCCTGTTTCAGATTCTGTGTCTCCCTCTCTCTCTGCCCCTCCCCCGTTCATGCTCTGTCTCTCTCTGTCCCAAAAATAAATAAACGTTAAAAAAAATTTTTTTTAAAAAGACACCTGACATATTAAGAACAGAAGATATGTTGAATGTCAAATAAAAATGGGAGACTGATTTTTTTTTCAGAAGAATTAAGAGAGAAAAGAAATAGAAACTAGGGTAACCAGGAAATTAACTGTGGAAGAGGTAAGATTTAGGTTAACCTTTGAAGAGTAATATTCAGATAAATCAAAAAAGAGCAGAAGGTACATCCTAAGCAAATCCCAGCTTTTAGAAAAGGAACAAAATACTTCTTTAACATTATTTTCGTTATAACAGGTTTTAAATAATGCAGAATTGTCTAAAATGAGAACAGACTTAACAGAGAAGTAAATACCAATCTAAGCTCTTTGTTAAAAAAGAAATGCCTATGACTATAAAAATCATGGCTAGTGTTAAATCGCTCTGCATTTGCCACTTATGCCCCAAATATTAGGATAAAAGCTCACTGGCGCTCTCAGCTGTGTATGTCTGATAAGTTTACAGTAAGAACAAGTTTCTCCAGTTATTACCGTTAAGCTCTACAATCAGGATGTGTAAGTCACATCTTATGGTAGCAGTTACCTTAAGGAAGCGTGTTACTCTAAACTGTACACATGACATCACAGGTTTCCCACAATGTGAAAGGAAATTTGCTATTCAGAGTGACTTAGCAATATTTGTTTGGATTTTAAACGAAGACAATTTTTTACAGCAATAAAACGTTTTTTTTTTTTTTTTTTGGCAACTATAGTTCGCTGATTTGCTTGACAAGAGGAAATGAGTCATTCATGTCAAGTCATTTTTGTGTGCAAAGTATAAAACTCAGTGACACACTAAGTTGTTAGGCACAGAAGTTTCCTAGTCACGACAACTGAGGAAAGTTAAAAGACAATGGAATCTACAAGAAGAAAAACTCCACCTACTAGCATAACATTTAATTTTGTCTGGCCAGTCAAAACGCATGATTTATCAAGGTGGATTTTGATGCTTCATATCCTTTCGAGTGAACATACTTTCTAGAAATGTCAGAAGATAATTGAATATTAAAGAAAATCAGACACTTTAAAAGTTTGGCAGGAACGGAGAACTATTGCCAGTGAGAAAACTGCATTAAAAACATTGAGAGAGGTATCTTATCATAGATTTCACATCCTGAAATAGACATGTTTACAACATAGTCACATGACACACATATTTCTAATCAGTTAAAAACAATCAAGATGATTTAAAGAAGGGTGTAATGAATGGATTTATTTTTCCTTAACTGTTTTCTTATCTATGCTCTCACCGTATTATGAGCAGTTCCACCCAGACTCGTACGAAAGCTGGTAATGGGCCAAAGACTTCCAGAATGTATGTATAATGACCACCAGATTTCTTTATACTTGTTCCCAATTCAGCATAGGACAAGGCTCCTGTGAAGTATTCATAATAAAAAAGGTACAAAATTAAAATATTAATTAGTCATCCGAAGGTAGAGTTGATGCAACGATATTTATGTTTAGGTAACATGTTACTACATCCTTTGGTCTGAGTGAGCTGTTTATTTCAAGAGAAGTAACAGTCATCTGATTGTTAGGAGCCATCAAATTCCTTTTCTAACTTCCGCATGGTTGAGATCTAGTTCATTCTGTTCAAACAATGTAATTTTATTTGAAATGGTAAAGACAAACTTCTAAAATAATATCATATTATTAAGAATTATGAATCTCAGGGGCGCCTGGGTGGCGCAGTCGGTTAAGCGTCCGACTTCAGCCAGGTCACGATCTCGCGGTCCGTGAGTTCCAGCCCCGCGTCAGGCTCTGGGCTGATGGCTCAGAACCTGGAGCCTGTTTCCGATTCTGTGTCTCCCTCTCTCTGCCCCTCCCCCGTTCATGCTCTGTCTCTCTCTGTCCCAAAAATAAATAAACGTTGAAAAAAAAAAAAAAAAGAATTATGAATCTCAAACCTGAGAAAAAGAGAAGATAGATGCCAATAATACCAACCTATTTTTAAAGGAACTACACACCAAGACAAGGAATTATCCCAAGTTGACCTTATTATATTAAGAATCCTTTTAATCAATAGTATTTCTGTTGCACATCAAAATTAACAAAATTTATTTGTGCTTCAGAAAAGTATAGACTCTTGGCCTTGCAAGACTTCATTTAATTTGTAGGATATGGTTTGTCAAGAAAATGAATTTTGACTCCAATATTCTATTTCTAGAAAAGATTTTCTTGGATATTTTTTGAAAAGTACACTTCTGAGTAGTTAAAAGAACATACTGTTTAAAAAGAGATGCTATAACTTATGTATATTAGGTAAAATTAATTATAAACATTTAGCCATCTTAACATTTAGCAATGCAATCCACATGGGCTTGAGCAAGTTATGTAACCTCCCCAAATGTAAGTTTCTTTATCTATAAAATGAGATCTCAATTCTTACCTCATAAGGGAGTTGTGTTTATAAATGCGATATTGGGCTCCAAGGACAGTACTGGGCCTGATACATTGAGAATACCTCATGAAATATGCCTACTAATTTGAGCAATTAACTACCAAGAAAATGAAAAATACATCTTGGTACTACGTGAAAAATTCTATTCATTCTGCAAAGTACTCAAATGTAACACAAATTCTTGCTTGAACTACTTCAGAGACTAGAAGTGTGGGAAATTATTATAGTAAAGCTTCATGCAGAACTGTCAACATGTATAAAATTTGGATATTCAGTTATATCTTAGTACCGTTGATCCTATTCCCAAACCTAGCTCTGTATCAGAATCACCTGAAAGTAAATTTCCACGCACACAAAAGCATACACACGAAAACAGAATCTAAGGCCATACCCTACAATTTGTTCACTACCAAGTCAGTCCAAACTCTCCAACAGAGAGAGCCAAACAAGTCTATTATTTTAAATTTTGTATAGATGATTTTATTATTTTTTTAAGTTTTTTATTTATTTTGAGAGAGATAGAGAGAGAGAGAGAGAGAGAGGGAAAGCAGGGGAGAAACAGAGAGAGAGACAGAATCCCAAGGAGACTCCCATGCTGGGCTTGAACTCATGAACCGTGAGATCATGACCTGAGCTGAAGTCAAGAGTCAGATGCTTAACCAAATGAGCCACCCAGGCACCCCTATACAGATGATTTTAAAACACCTAGTCTGCAGATTAATATTTAAGGACCACTAATATAGTTTGCCTATTTGTAACTAATTGTAACTGGTTGCAATTCACTCTGTTGGAAACCAGTCGCCATGTTGGTAGCCTGTATAAAAGAGCTTCCCATATAAAATGTTATTGGAAAGTCTTAAGTACCTCAGAATTTATTGCCAGACAATCAATACCTAGACCTGTGTCTGCTTTGCTGAAACTCCAGGATGGTTGCCCTGGGTTTAAATTGAGTTCGGGAGGAATGAGATTTTCATTTAAAAGTCTCAAGCTCCATAACCATTTTACCCAGATGAAAAAAGTTCAAAACAAGATGTAAAAATCCATGTATTGACCCCGGCTTTAAAAAAATTGTAAACCAAATATACAGATTCTTTACTCGTAGTCCCCGAGTTCTAGAGTTCTAAGAGAAAGTATTTGTTTTCTTTACATTTTGCTTTGCTTCCTGTTAGGAAGGCACTCCTGTCAAAAAGCTCCTAGGAACTTAAGTGACAAATAAAATGTAAATACAGATAAGAAGATTAATACAGGAGCATGCTCCCTGGGATTAGTAATCAAAGAATATCAACTCAAATGTAACCTGAGCTAGTCCTTTTAACATTTTTTTTTTCCTGAGCTTCTGCTTGAGTTGATATACGTACGCAGAACCATATTTTCCTAGTGGAATAGCATTTTAACTAGTTCAATCCTCACAGCAATTCATTTTACTATATGTGAATAACCTTTTATTATGTATAAAAATCGAATCACATAGTGGGAGCTGGATGTATAGAAGTATGAAAAGTCCAGGAAATTGGTTATGGTTTTTCCTATCAGACATTGATTTATTCTCCATTTACAAGTACTTGTAGAAGAGTAAAGACTGAGGGTGCACAAAGTCAGTTAAGAAGAGCAATGAATAGGTTTCTCTTTGTCTATAAATGTACATGCCAGAACCATACAGAATACCACCAACTCTTTTTAAAAACCTAAAATAATTCTTCTACACATCTTTCTATACCACAGCGTTGTTTTAATGAATTTTACTTCTTCCTGATGGAAATCTGACTTCTCTAGATGAATACCCAAACCAATGCACTAAAACACCACAAGGCCTTAAGAATGAATGGATTGGTACATGTAGGACCAAGAGTTAGTACTTAGTCCCAGAGTTAGGACAAAGCTTTCTGTTAGTACCTTTAAAGAGCAGGGCCTTTTGGAATTAAAACATACTGGTTGCCACGAAAGAGAAGATACATCTTGGACATTTTCCCCCATAGTGTAGATAAAATTTTATTTTTTTGACCACTCGCCAGCTTTTGTCACCTTTGTAAGGAACTCAGGTAGCTTTCTGGTAACTTGCGCACCCCGTGAAAGGTATCTATTACCTCTTTGCTGGCAATATCAAATCAACAAAAGAGATCTAGAACTTGAAGCAAAATTAATAGTCATCCTTCTTCTACTAGTTCTGTGCAGGTTAACTCAGTGAACCGACGGGCAAGTTATCTACGTCCGCGAAGACCCACTGAACTATAAATGAAGAAAGTAGATCTGGGCAAGCACAGCAAACTAACACCCAGTTCCGGTTTTACTATTCATGTTGCAAACATTTAGGGGTGAGAGGGAGAGACGAGAGATTGAAAAACTTTGAAATGCGCTCAGACCCTTGCAATATTCCCACTTATCACAGGAATTGAGTTATGTGCCACCACACGTATTTCCACGGCAAGGACTTTTGAAATAATAGCAGCAATGGACAAGCACGCCAAGTTAAAAAATTAAAAAGAAGACGACTGCCCTCTCCCCCCCCACCCCCACCCGCGGTTTATTTTGCCAATCAAAACACTGTCAAACTTCTGCTGAATACTAAGCTCTGTGTCTAAATAGGCCATGCCGGGTTTCACTTCACAGGTGTTTCATTCGGCGGGCCAGCTGCCAAGATCCCTCAAACACAAGTCACTGAGAACAACTGCCCGGTACAGAAAGCTCGCATCTATTTTCCCGGGTCATCAAAGTGAGCCTTTGCTCTCATGGCCACAGGGAAAAGTCAGAAAAGAGTCTGCCGGAGTCAGGGGAAGAGAGTAGGGGCTGTGGAAGCAAGTCGGTGGAATGCAGGATCCTGCCAACAGTGGACGCTGTGTTTGGGTAGTTCGCATACTTCAACAAGAATCAGAGCCTTTGGCGTAGCCTTTGCCATTCATTCACTCCTTAAAAAGTACTCTTTGCTTTCCCAGAGAGCAAACTGCCCGGCTCCACAGACATACCCCCCAGAGAAGAAGCTGCACTCACCAAACAGAGACAGGACCCCACAGACTGTCCAGATAATCAGAGACATGCCCACGCTGCCCGTGTTCTGGAGCACGCCCTTAGGAGAGATGAAGATTCCTGCTCCAATGATCGTGCCAATGATGATGGAGATGCCCCTCAGCAAAGTGATTTTCTTCTTCAGCACCACTTTCTCCTGCCCAGGTGGCTCCTTGCCACCCAAAGAAGGCAGCTTCCCATTAACATTCCCCTGCAGGTAACCTCCACTGGAGATGGTGGACACAACAGGCTTTCTGACCATTGTAGTGACACGCGGGGAAAAAGGAAACACAGGAAAAAAAAAAAAAAAAAAAAAAAAGCAACAACAAAACCAAACAAAACCAAACAAAAACAAGAACAAAACCCAAAACTTTCCACTTTGGTCTCTCTTGGTGTGACTGACCAAATCTCTTCCTCTTTGCTTTCAGATTGTCTCTCTCAGGGCTATTGTGTTCACAGGTAAAAACTCAAAGGTGCCTTTTTCTCCTTCCCAGCTCTCTGATTACTGCTCAGAAACACCTGTGTGTTCATGGTGCTCTCGCTCCTCCACCACCTCCGACTCTACCTCTGCGGCTGCGGCTGCTGCTGCCGCCCTATCATTACAGACCAGCTCAGCTTCCTCATGGGCTGGTATTTAAGCTCCTGCCTGTCACACCAACTTATTCCAGCTTAATGATGATGCAAATTCTCCAGGTTTGCATCAGCCACATGAGAAGGCTCCAGCATTACTCAGCTCTTTTTTTTTTCCCCCAAACATTAGCAGCATGTTGCTCAACTGACCTCAGCTTTTCAGAGAACAAAGCACACACTTAAAAGGGATCTTAACCAATCCAGGAGGAGTAAATTCGGAACAGACCTTCCCAGAGATTTAAAGCAACTCCTAGTGAGGGACAAAAGCGAAGAGTGAGGGACTCTTCGCGCGGAAAAGAAAATGAAAAATGAAACAGGAAATGATCACTGCTTTACGAGGAGTTTCTTTTTTAACTTACGTATAAAGACATGTCACGCACAGCTGTTTTGATAATAGAGCGTAACCCAAAGCTGCATTCTTTATAACAAAACATTTTGAGATTTCATGTTTTCTGCTTATTTTTTTTTTTTTTTTACTTTGGGTTTCTGAACAATACAGTCAAGCGAGACTGATTCTGTATGGTTGCTGTCAGACATACCACTGTGAGACTTATTCAACATTAAAAGAGAAAAATTATTTCTTGCTACCAGTAGTAAACTTGTATTTAAAGTCACTACCTGAGTGTGACAAACTTAAAAATCACAGTGACTCCAGAAAACAGCTGTTTTCTGATTCTCATCAGCTCTAGGTGTTGTCCTAAAGTAAAAGATACATATTCTTCATTTGCATGTTGTTTCATTGAATTACCAAAAAAAAAGTAATTTTAAAATTAAGCAGTAGTTACAATGACATAAAACTACGCATATAGCAAAAACTTAAAAAGGAACACATAGAATAATAGTTTGGGAAGGTGATGTTATTAGGTATGATTTTTTTTCTAACATGTATGAAGTATTGTTGTATCATGATTATAAATTTAAAATGAATTGGAAATATAAGCTAAGATTAAAATGTTTACTTAAAATGGTAAGAAAGGCAAAACACTTTAAAACCCTACTAACTTTCTGAATCTAGTGTCCCTAAAACAAATACCAACAGAAAAGGAATTCTACCTTCCCCTATGATCATCCGTCAAGTTTCTCAAATTCCACATATGAGTGAAATCATGTGGTATCTGTCTTTCTCTGACCGACTTAATTTGCTTAGCATAATACCCTCCAACTCTGTCCATACTGTTGCAAATGGCCAGATTTCATTCTAGATGTCACTTTTGGCTGTGGTTGTAGGTGGTTTTAGATGCAGTGGGAAGAATTTGACCTTATCATTATCCTGAAGCTACGTTTACAAACACCATTAAATACACTTCGAAATGTCTGAACAAGAATAACAAACAAAAAAACTTGTGTGCAAGAGGTGGGGGATGAGGTGGGTGGGAGGTCCAGAGGATGCAAGAAAGAAATAGCCACTAGGAAAGCAGCGTGGAGAAAGAAGGTCAGAACCAGTTTCTGTTATTTTGAGACCTGAGAAAATTATACCATGTCCGTGCTCTATCATCCAAATACATGCAGCCGTATCATTTCCTTTTCATATTTTCCACCTAATTCCTATATAATTTGCTTTAGGTATCCCAAGTCAGGGTTTTTATACAGCCCAAATAGTTTTTCCCTGTCGTTATGCCTTTCATAAAGTAAAAATGGGTAGTTTCCCTCATTTAACCTTGTTGATATCCCTAAAAGAGACAGCTAAAGGAAAATTCTCCTCCTCCTCCTCCTCCTCCTCCTCATTCTCCTCCCTACCTTTTTTCCCCTCACACAAGTGAAGGGAGAGGCTTTTTGTCTCCCCAAAAGGAAAATAGATTAGATTAGATTAGATTAGATTAGATTAGATTAGATTAGATTAGAATAGATTAGGACTTAAAAGTAGAACACTGGAAATCCCAGGGAATAACTTTTTATCTGTACCTCACACCAAACCACACTTCAATTTTAAATTTTGTGCTAAATGACTGAATTAATAAGCTGAGACTAAGATCGCACTGAGACAGGAAGTTAGACAAATTCTAACAGAAGAAAAAATGTTTTTTTCAATATTAAATAACATTCTCCTCCTTTTCAGTATTTTAAACATATGTACAGAGAAAACTTGAAGTCAGACTAATGGCCAAAAGGATTATTAGTGTCATGTAAGAAAGTCATATTCAAAAATTCTGCAAAGCTGCAGACATGAGCATACCTCATCCAGCCACCCACAAATTTGCAGAAAATTCAGGTTACACAGTAAATTTTAAGTTATCTTCAATATTAACAAACCCTTATAATCAACAGTCCCAAACTTATAAACTAAAAATTTATAGTCTTCAAATATGTGTGTATCATAAAAACGAATTCCAAGCAAATGCATTTATATTCTTCCACCTGCTTCAGTCCTTATTTTAAGCATTCCTGTCAAATCAGGAGGTTATCCCAGGTTATCCCTATTTACAAATATTTATTTAGTGCTTTTTGTATACAATGGATAACCCCAGATCTCTAAATTATCTTATATAAGAAGCAGATGTGATATACTGTGGTAGCTTCCCTTTTCTGGTAATAATTTCTGTCTCATGATTATAAATATGGACACGTAATGACTTGGCCAAAAATAATCCTAGGGGCGCCTGGGTGGCTCAGTCACTTAAACGTCTGACTTTGGCTTAGGTCATGATCTCATGGTGTGTGAGTTCGAGCCCCACATTGGGCTCTGTGCTGACAGCTCAGAACCTGGAGCCTACTTCAGATTCTGTGCCTCCTCCTCTCTGTGCCCCTCCCACGCTCATGCTCTGTCTCTCTCTCTTTCTGTGTCTCAATAATAAATAAACGTTAAAAAAAAAAAGTTAAAAAAATACCCTTCCTGGCTGGAGGGTTTAGGAATGTGACCTGAGCCAGGATATTATTAAACAAAATTAGATTTATCTTTTCTCAACTATTGGAAGTTGTAAAGATGTGACCCAGAACAACTGGTGGCCATGTGTCCTGCCATGTTTAGTAAATCCTCATGACATAAAAGAGAATATGCAGAGATAAGAGACACTTACAAAATCCCAGCATCATCAAGGCCAGGTATAGTTCCTAAGGGACCCAGATTGGCTCTAGATCCTGAAGATCTTCCTTCAATTCTATAAGCTACATAGTTTTCTTGTTAGATAAGCTACTTCATCACACACACACACACACACACACACACACACACAGCAACAGGAATGGTGTAGCTAAATGTAAATGGCGTATCATTAAAGCTTCTAAACTGGGTTGGTATATAATATATGATAGTCATTAGACACATGTGGTTATCAGCATCGGAAATGTGGCTAGTCCAACTGGGATGTGCTGTAAGTGTAAAATATCCACTAGAATTTGAAATCTTGTTTTAAAAAAAAGAACAAAATAATCTCCTTAATAATTGTATTATTCATATTAATTTCACCTGTGTCATTCTATTTTTTAATGTGGCTACTTAAAATCAAAAATATATATGTGGTATAAATTTCTTGCTCACATTATGGTTCTAATAGACACTGCTGATCTAAAAGAAAATATAAAACATATTCTTCAACGGGCGTAAGCAGGGATTTCTTAAAAGGGACATACAAAGTACTAATCATAAAAGAAAGATATATTTAAATATAGTAAAATTAAGAATTCAGCTCATCAAAAGACATGATTAAATGATTACAAAAGCAAACCACAAAATAAGAGAAAGTATTTGCAACTGGCAAAGATCTCATGTTCAGAATAAATAATAAATTCCTACAAATTGATAGGGAAAAGACAGACAACCCAATAGAAAATGGGCAAGAAATATGAACAGACAGTTGATAAAATGGTCAATGTATTTTTAAAAAAACTGCAAAACCATACTACTCATTAGGGGGATTAAAACTAAAATCACAATGTGATATTAATTCCTATCATCATAGTGGCTCACATAAGAAAGAGTGACAACAGCCAGAGTGTTAAGAGTGTGGTGCAATACTCTGCTGGTGGGAGTACAAACTGTTGCATTCATTATGCAAAATCGTTTAGTATAATCTACTAAAGTTAAACATACACGTATTCTTTGACCAATAAATTCCATTCCCAAATTCAGGATATCCATGTGCAAAAAGACATAGATGAAAATATTCATAGTAGCTTTATTTATAATAGCCAATAATAAAAATAACACCAATGTCCATAAGGGTAGAATGGGTAGATGTATCCCTTATTCAGCAAAATACAAGACAACAATAAAAGAGGAACAATGGCTGTGTACAACAATATAGATAACTCTCATATAATGTTAGGAGACATGCAAAATAAGATACATACTATATGATTTAATTTACATATTTAAAAACAAGCAAATGACTCTATGGGTAAGAACTCTTATGATTTGCTTTGGAGATAAGTGGATTCTAGTGATTGAGAGAGGGCACAAAAGCAGTTCTAGGGTCCTGGTAATGTGCTACTTAACAACCTGTGGAGTGATTACATTCATTTTTTAACTTTGAGATAATTCACTGGACTGTACACATATATTTTTGTACTTTATTTATATAAAAATTCAATTTATTAAAACAAACATTTTAGGTGAAATTTTATGATATCCTGTCAAAAGCAGACCAAGCAGGGGCGCCTGGGTGGCGCAGTCGGTTAAGCGTCCGACTTCAGCCA